GAAAGGCAGTAAATGGCCGGGGCTGGGGCAGGGGAGACAAACAGGGAGATCATCCACCCACTCGCTCACTGCCCAAATGGAGGCATGGCCAGAGCTGAGCCCATCCAAAGCCAGGAACTTCCTCTGGGTCTCCTACATGGGTTCAGGTGCCCAAGCACCTGGGGCATCCTCTGCTGTTTTCCCAGGCCATTAGCTGGGAGCTGGGTTGGAAGTGGAACAGCTGGGACTTGAACCAGTGCCCATAAGGGATGCTGGTGCCGCAAATGGAGGCTTAGCCTGGTACGCCATGGCTCTGGCCATGTGTTTTATAGAAGGAATTTGATTAGATAACTTGAAAACAGTCTTAATGTGTCTTAGCATGTTCAGGAAATGGCTGAATCCTAGTATATTTATTTGCTTATTATTCTCGGTCATGTGTTTTATTCTGAGCATATCCCCATGTTCAGCTTTATAAGACTGATACAGGCTTATTATAATCTTATATTGTGAAATATTTTACAATGTCTATAGGCTTCAGAAAGTTTGTAGGAAATGCGTTGTCCTTCCATGAACTTTCGGAATGTCTCATCTCAGCATCGGTGTCTGAAAGCCTGCCAGAGGCGGTGCTGTGATGTGGCAAGTGAAGTTGGTGTGTGTGTTGCCCGCATCCCAAGTTGGAGTGCTTGTTAGAATTCCACTCTCCTGCCTCTGAGCCGGCTCGCTGCTAAGGAGCCTGGCTGTGGGCTGGCCCAGCCCTGGCTGTTCAGGCACTCAGGGAGTGAATCAGCACATGGGAGCACTTTCTCTGTCACTCTGTCTCCAAAATACTGTTTTAAGAGAAAAAATGAAACATTACTGGCTGGTCTTGAACCTTGGAACTGGGAGAAGTTAAGCCTGTGGAAGTAGACTCCTGTGACCAAACAGAAGAGGGATTTGAGTCTGTGAGAACCCTGGACTTGTGAAGGACTCTGAAAAGTGGTCCCACCCAGGGAAGTGGCCTGCTACTGTCCTTCCTCCAGGCACCGGGGCACCCTGGGGCTGAGGGACTGTGTGCTGGCTAGAGGGAGGATGCAGGTGAGTGGTGGCTTGCAAGGAGCAAGTCTGCACTCACCTGCCAGAAGGGTCTGCAGGGGTCACTAGCATAGCATGGTGGGCAGGGTGAGAGGAACCCTGGGGAGCCTGAACCCCTGAATTCTGTGGAGGAAGACCTGGTGGTGGCTGTGTGTGGCCAAAGGGTGATGTTTGGGAAATGTAGACACAGCAGAGGCTGGGATCTGCAAACCAGCTGTGCATCTTAGAGACACACAGTGTACCTGACATTATAATTGTGGACTTTAAGTCATAGCTTACAGACAGGCTGATGGCTTTGACCCTTTGTACTCCTGTTGTGCCGTGAGCAACAAAGTGCACTTTTCTGTTGCTGCAGATAATTTTTGATTTTGAAATGAAGTCATGTCCTCCCGTCCCTAACTTGCTGCTCTCCCCCGAGTCCTGTCCCAGGCAATGTGGGTGGTGGCCTGGGCTTCTCTAGCTCTTGGTGTCCTTGGAGAACTGGATAGCTGGACCGTGCCCAGGCCCTTTCGTGGCTGGCCTGGTGGCTAAGATGCACCTGTACCTTATGTCAGAATGCCTGGCTTTGATGGCTGCCTCCAGTTCCGGTGCGTGCTTTTGGCTAGCGTGGACATCTGCAGAAGCAGTGGCAGTGGCTTCTACCCGCGTGGGAGACATGGATTGCATTCTTGACTTAGGCCTGCCCTTGCCTGGTCTTTGGGGGAATGAAATCATTACTTCCTTTCAAATAAGTGACTTTTTTGGAAAATGAAATACACAGAGCTTGTCATGGGCCAGAGATTGGACTGTCCAGCCCCTCCCAGGTTTCTGGTGTCCAGACCGCATGAGCCGGAGATGGCCTGCAGGCCTTCTGACGTTCATGAGTGATGTGCTGTTCTCTAATACTTATGAGAGAGTAATGATCCCAGTAATAGGAAAATTCAGTTTTTCCTATAAACAGAATCCTGGAGCAGGAATGAGGCAGCCGTCTACTGTGGAATAGCAATGTTGAAACAGGAAGGTGTGTTGCTTCCCTCTCCCAGGCAGAGGCTGTTGAAACTTGTGTGTGTGTGTGTGTCTGTCTGTCTGTTAATGATTTCTGAATCTAGGAGAGTGGTAGGTGTGGAACAGAGCCCCCCGAGTATTCCCTGGACTGAGTTGGGTTCATATAATTTGTTTAGTCAATCTGCGAACGCTGCTGTGCTGACAACGTGGAGCAATGCGGGACACACTGCAATCTTGGTACAAGATTCTGAGTGGTTAGGAGAGTTTAAGCACAAGTAATTATTCATGTTTTGTTAGGAACGCATGACTGCCCTGTGAGAAACCCTGAGAAAATGCAACACATTAATCCCGTTGAGAGTACATCCTGAAGCCAGGTCCCTTTCTGCAAACATGAGAATAGCTCAAAGGAGCCTGGCTTCGCTGTGGACACGGGAGAAGTGCTCGTCTGTCTGACTTGCTGTCAAGTGCCCAGATCGACTTTTTCTTAGGTTTGGTAATGCTTGGCTCGCGATGAGGTGACTTTGGAGGTTTGTTCATATCCCGGGAGGTGCGGAGGATCCCTCCTGCCCTCTGCAGGATTGCTTCTCCAGCTGTCCTTTAACCCTCTGCTGCCTGGTGTGCTGCCACCATCCATACCACATGCTCGAGGCCCAGCTGGCACGCACCGGGGGGCCCGGGAGAGCTGGGGACGAGGGACCCAGCAGTTGTGTGTATTCTGAAGTTGTCTTCTGCTTGCAGCTCTGACCAGAGGCTTGTCATCCGCTCGTCGAGGTCTCAGCTCGCCTTCTCCGTGTCCGTGCTGGACCTCGACCTCAAACCCTATGAGAGCATCCCTCACCAGTACAAACTGGATGGCAAGATAGTCAGCTTCTACTCAAAGACTGCCCATGCCAAAGAGGACCCCGTGCTGTCGCCTCGGTTCAAGGAAAGCGACGATTGCACATTAGTTCTGCACAAGGTCTAACAGTCTTCCCTGCCATGTCTGGAAAACTTGCCGCCTGTGAGGGTTGAGTGCTAGAGTTACCTTCTGTTGTGCTGAGTGTTTGGTTTGAATCTTCCTGCAGTTAGCCTGTGGGCTGCCTCTTGCAGACATGGAATTGAAGAGCACTAGAAACATCTTCCAGGACAAGGAATGTAGGACGTGAGCCCTGTGTCCCAGGAAGTTGCTCCTGGTCTTAAATGGAAGTGTCCGTTAAGCCCTGGGAAGACGTTCTGGGTGGGTTTCCTCCTCCACCCCGGGCTCACGTCTGTTTCTCCAATGCAGAAGCCTTATTTAAGACCCAAGTCTGGATCTCCTCCCACCACACTCCTAACGTAGAAAACTTGAATTGTCATGGGCATCTTTAAGGAAGCATGGATACTACTGGAACGTCCCTCACCGAGCCCTGTGTCACCTTCTCTGCACAGGTTTTGGGCTCCCTGCTGCAGGCCGTGTGTGAGCAGGGGTCGCACAGACACTGGTTTGGAGTGCTCTGGTCCCTGTGGCGAAGCTAGTGGCGCTGTGCAAGGCCAGCAGGGAGCACGAGACTCGGGGCAGGATGGAAACCACTCGGTGAGCGCGGACTAGTTCTTCACGATTCACTCTTCAGCGGGGAGATGAGGCTTGCTTCCCACCTGATTGCTGTAGGTGGGCAGCAGCCATCACCTGCCACACTGCTGGGGCAGGAGTGCCCCACGCTGGTGTGCTGGGGGCTGAGCCAGGAGGCTCCGCTTCCTCCCTGGTATGCGCAGGGCATGTGACCACATGGCCTTGTCTGCTGCCCTCGGGTCTGCCAGAAGGGCATGGTGTGTGGCTGGTGTTGGGGGCATTCTTGGGGGGGAGGGGGTCACTGGGTGTGCCTGGCTGCTATAAAACCATTGGGAATCTTGGCTTCAGTTTTTTATTCTATGGTTGCTTGTACAGACTATTTATATCATCATTTTGAGGGACAAATGAAGGCTTATTGTAATATAGTATTAGTAAACCATGGGATTATATGAAAATACTACATGAGAAACAAGGAAAATATTTTGATGATTGTAAATTTTTGTGGGAAGTTTGTGATAACTTGAGAATTATACTTGTTTGAATCAAGCCAATTCTTTTAGAATTTATTGTTCAATTCTGCCATAATATTTTACTTCTCACCTTAGAGATGCGAAAAGGTTGTTTATGCATTAAGGCACTTTGACCATTTTCTTCTGATTTCAGACCGTATCTCTCCTGTGTGCATGCTGTCTGTGCTGACCCGGGGGCCTGTGGACAGTCCTGGGGGGCTGCGAGAGCCTCACTCAGGTGCTGTGCTGGGGAGGGGGCATGTACAGCAGGTGGCCCGAAGCCGCCCGGGGCTCTGCAGCCGAGGCAGTCACGGCCCTGGGCCTCACGGAGCCTGCTGGCCCAGCAGGTGCCACGTTGCCAGACACTGCAGATTGGAAACATCCATGGATCCTGACATTATAATAGGCAGTGGAGGGCGCCATCATGGTCGGACGAGATGTTTAGACATTGGGGTGGGGTTGGTGTGTGTGTGTGTGTGTGTCTGTGACCTAGGCTCCGTGAAAGGAACCGTGCAGGCTCTCTTTAAGGCTAAGAAGAGGAATTAGCTGAGAAATGCTGCTTCTCACAGCAGGATGCCGCTGCCTGCCTGGGTGTGACTCCCTTGAGCTACTGAGGAATGTTCCGGAAATGAGGCTGTATCTGCTGTTGCCTCCCAGGTGGCAGGAGCTGGGCCAGCCTTGGGGAGATAGGTGTGGGCCAGCCACTTCTGACAGTACATTTTCCTAAAAAAAGACCTGACTTTATCCACATATCACTGTTTGGCCTTTTGTGCATAGCATAACTCAGTTTACTTTTCACGTAAGGGCAGTTTACATAACATGCCATAACTGCGTGGCCGGCATTTTCTAAGGGTGTGGTCTCCATGGGAACTAGCAAGTGTTTATACTCAAGTGCACCGTCTGATGCCTGCATGGTTGCAGTCCGGGAACTACTTGCGTTCCGCACAGAACAGTTTTATCAGGCTTTCCACAGCACCTTCTATCCCCAGCACGCTGAGCAGGGAGCGGAAGCTAAGAGGTGCCATCTCTATGACGCCGTTTTTGTCCAGCTCAAGAGCTGCAAAGAAAGCATAAACCCGGTAAGAAATGTTGAGGTGCAGCTGCCCAGGAGCACCCCTCCTCCCTGCTGGCCCCTGGGGGGACCCGCACGCGCGGGCAGCCTGGCTGCCTCAGAGCTGGGAGCCTCTGAGCACGGACTTGGAGTGGTTATCGAAAAATGTTTTCCAAACTGCCGATGTGCAGGAGTGAGCCCTCCGACTTCAGCTGCTTGCCGCATGCGGGCAGGTGATGAAACAGCCAGTGGCTCAGCTGTCACACTGAGACGTCGCCCAGCACTCGGGGTTCCTACCTTGCTGTGGCACTTGGGTGAGGAGATCCAGCTTGGGCGAGACTCTCCCTTCCTCATCTATCTGAATCCTCCAAACAACGATTAAGGCAAACCTAAAAAAGGGGTGGGCCCACAGGATTGTGTTTTTAACACCTATTAAATATTCCCAGCCAGCTGCTGGCTTCCCCACTCCTGAAGCTGTGTGCCCCGAGGACACCCGAGGTCAGAGGTGCAGAGAAGGTCCTCTAGCTGCCGGTTCGCTGCCCCGTATAGTCAGAGAGCCAGGGCTGGGCCGGGCTGAAGCCAACAGCTTCCTCTCTGGATCTCCCATGTAGGTGTGCAGGGGCCCAAGGACTTGCACCGTCTTCTGCTTCTCCCAGGCCATTAGGGAGCTGGATCGGACACGGAGCAACCCAGGACACAAAGCAGCACTTGGATGCCGGTGCTGGCATCACAGGTGGCGGTTTTACCACAACTTTGGTAATGTGCCACGACTGTGCCACAACTTTGGCCCCCATGGGTTAATTTTTTTTTTTTTTATTTTTTTTTTAAAGATTTATTTTTATTATTTTTTCATTGGAAAGGCGGATATACAGAGAGGAGAGACAGAGAGGAAGATCTTCCATCCGATGATTCACTCCCCAAGTGAGCGCAACGGGCCGATACTATGCCGATCCGAAGCCAGGAGCCTCTTCCGGGTCTCCCACGCGGGTGCAGGGTCCCAAAGCTTTGGGCCGTCCTCGACTGCTTTCCCAGGCCACAAGCAGGGAGCTGGAAGGGAAGCGGGGCTGCCGGGATTAGAACCGGCGCCCATATGGGATCCCGGGCGTGCAAGGCGAGGACTTAACCACTTGCGCCACCGTGCCGGGCCCCCCATGGGTTAATTTTTAAGTTGATAACATTCTGTATGCCCTGTGAGTGATGTTGCAGATATTCAAATGACCCTTGGCAGAGAAGGGCTCCCTCCCCTTGAAGACTACTAGGAGCTTGAGAATAATTTAGCGTCAAAAACAGTTGAGCGGCCTCATGCCCTGGCATAAGTAGGTTAAGCCTCCACCTACAGTGCCAGCATCCCATATGGGTGCTGATGAGAGCCCTGACTGCTCCACTTCCACTGCAGCTCCCTGCTTACGCCCTGAGAAAGCAGTAGGAGATGGCTTAAGTCCTTGGGCACCCGCACTCGCATGGGAGACTCAGAAAAAGCTGCTGGCTCCTGGTTTAGGACCGATCCAGTTCTCAATTGTGGTCATTTTGGGAGTGAGCCAGCAGATAGAAGATCTGTCTGTCTATGTAAAACCTGTCTTTCCAATGAAAGTAAATCTTTAAAAAGCAGCAGCAGCAGCTGAGCACAAGACACTCCCTCTCCTCACCCAGGAGTTTCATTTCCAGGAAACCTGTTGAAGGGAGTCATGGGAGAACTGAAGAGTAAGGAACAGAGATGCAGAGACCCTGCAGGGTGGTGCCCATGGGGGGGAAGCAGTGTAGGGAGACCCTGCATAGCACAGAGGCCTGCCCGGACGCCCACAGGGCCAGGAACCCTTCTGTACCAAGGCATGCACAGAGGAACAAGGCCTGGAGCTGTGCACTGCAGGCCAGGGAGGCGCCCGAGGTGGGAGCTGGGACCCTACCTCCCCAGGTGCCCCTACAGCCTGGCTTGCTGGGCTCTGCCGCTTCCACACACAGCACCCCGCTTCCACACACAGCACCCCGCTTCCACACACAGTCCCCACTTCCCCTCATGGGCCCCAAAGTGCCCCACGCAGAACTGCCACAAGTTGGCGCTAGAGAACACTTCCTCCCACGTTGCCTGCAGATGCTGGTTATGGCCTGCACATGTGCCCGCGGTGACGCCCCTAGCTGCCAGCCTTCAGTCCTCAGCAGGCTGCTCCCAGTTTGTACTGTCTGTAACCCTTGGCGTACCAGGAACCCAGGGTCTGTGACCTGGGCACTCACCCCGGCCGCCTGGTGCTGCAGATGCTCATGTAGCGGGAGCCGGAGCCCTCTGGGAGCCGCACGACCTGTGGGTACTTCTCCTGTGAAGACAAAGGAGAGGGTTACCGACAGATCCGTGGGCAGGAGCCAGGACCGCTGGGGGTGGCTGACCAGGTGTCCCCACGCCCTGTTCACTGGCAGCTGTGGCACCCTGCCTCGTGCTGCCTGCCACGCGGGAAGGCTCTCTGCTGCCACGCCTTCCCATTTAGCAATTGTATGAGCCACACATCTTTGCCCCAGATTATTCTTCAGTGGGGCTCTTGGTCTCCCTAAGGGGACCTGTGGTGACATGTCACCTCAGCCTCTCTAAGGGGACCTGTGCTGAGGTGACAGTTTCTCAGCCTTAGCATCTGATCGTGACAGCTCAGATCAGCCGCCAGGTGGTAGGACAGTTGGGCCGTGTAAGATCCCTGTTTTTCATCCCTGCCAGTCCCCGAGGCTGGATCGGTTGTGTGCCCTGCAGGCCTGGGGGGCTGGGGGAGTAGAGCCTGGTGCAGCTGCAGCTGAAGCCAGTCCCAGCTCTCAAGATAAGGGGCAGGGCTGGCACCTCTGCAAATCCTCACTGAGTTGAACCAGCTTAGCTGCACCCAGGTGAGGTTGTGTGGGGACAAGGCCATATCACAGCTCTTAAGGGAGCCAGTCTCCATCAGTGTGGGGCGCCAGGGCTGCTGGCATTTCATGCGGAGATGCCAACGGGGTGGGTGCACGTGGAGACCCCCGGTGTGGTGGGCCTGGTGTAGGCTTACAGAGGATAATTCCAGCCTGATGGTTTCCAGGAGAAAATGTATACCTAAGCGACTCCAGTGGAAACTGCTGGTTCATTCCTAAACCCCAGGCTCTTCTAAATTAGTAACAACTGTAGGGGGAAAGCAGAGGCGAGCCTGCGGACGTGGCAGTTGGGCTTCCAGGCTGCGCTTGGCCACAGCCCGTGGGGCTCGGCGGGGGCTGCTGGGAGCCTCCTGACAAAGGGAGGGCTTAAATGAGAGCTTTTCACTAGAAATTACACTCCTTAGAAACGCTGAGGCAGAGGAGGCTGCCAGGCGAGCGCTTTGGAGACTATTTGGAGTCGTGTGATGTTTCCTTGTGTAAGTTAGTGATGTGGCTCCATTCACTGGCTGGGAACCCCAACTATGTTGAGCGCTGTGGGGAAGGCGGGGTGAACCGCAGGCTGCTGGCCAACCCGAGGAGACGGTCCCGAAGCGGCAGCTTCAGTCCCTCTCTGCAGAATTGGGACGCCCCTCGCCTCGCGGGCCCTGCAGCCGCCCTCACTCCCCCTGCGCAGGGTGTCAGAGGAAGGGGCCAGAAAAGATGAGAAAGCAACCACGGTGGGCGTGGGGGTCATCTGGCTCAGCCAGCGCATTTTACGGGGTACTATATTCGGACCCTGACAGAAGACAACCAATTCGTCAACAGTGGGCAGGCCCATGAGGCAGAAGTAAGATTCTGGAATGTTTTTTTTTTGTAAACATTAACAGCATACTTAGTTGGGAAATCAAGAAGCAGACCTGGGAAGCAGCTTAGATAGTGTCCCATTCTGCCACCGACAGAAAGAAGCAAGACCCAGGGAAGGCCAGCACACGGCTGCACTTTTCAGAGGGACTCTGCCACCACTGAGCAGTCTCAGTGGAGTGGGGGAGCAGCCCACGCTTCTACCACTGTGGAGGGGAGGCCGGGGGTGGCGGCAGGCTCGGGGGCCTCCCTTTCAGAACCCCAGCCTTCCACAGGAAAGCTGCTCAATGAGGGGGGCTGTGCCAGTGAAGGCGTTTATTCAGCTGCCTGCCACATGCGAGGGCCTGTGTCCAAGGAGTCTCGGGGGGTGCCGTGTCAGGGCCTGCAGGAATGCGGGCAGCTGTGCACCTGACAGCCTGGGCCTGCTGGGGCTGCACGCAAGGCTGAAGGGACAGAACCCACAGCGGAGCTCCACAATGCCCAGTGCAGTGAAGAGGAGGGACCAGCCCAGCACCCGCCCCTGGGTGTTTGCATTTTCCCAAATGATGTCCAGCTGAATCAGGGGCTTTTAATGACAGATTAGTTCATGCAGGGAAGTCACTCCTTTAAAATGATCTTCACCACGTGGAGGAATCTGCATGTCATCATTGCGCTAAGGCCACGCTAGCCTCTGTGCTGTTCCAATTTTAGTACTGCTGAAGCGAGCACCCTCACTGCTTGCTTCACTCCAGAACATCTACACTGCCTAAGAAACGCTGTGCCTGAGTCCTCCTTCCCATTCTCCCTTTTGCAGAGGCAGCCTAGAGACTGTGGCACAGAGGGGCGGAGGCTGGCCTCCCATGGCTTGTGGACCTGGGACTAGAGCCTTACCACCCAGGCTGGGGGCCCTGGAGGGCCCGAGGCAGGAACACACAGGCCAAGATGACTGCTCGGCCCAGGGCCTGAAGCTGTGCTGTGTGGGACCAGGCACACACGATGAGCCTGCCTGATCCCAGCGCACCAAAGACCGCAGACACCTTCCAAAGGCCGTGCTTTGTATGCAGGCTGTGACACTGCAACGCACACGTGTTTACCGCCCTCTTGGTCCTCTCTAGAAGCTGCTTTTAGATCTCATGTAAAAATACCAGACTAAAGTTTAGGCAATTTGGCCTACATTCCAGGCAGCCCCAAAGTCTGCAGACACCGTCTAAAATGGTCCTGGAGGGGCCCGGCGCGGTGGCGCAAGTGGTTAAGGTCCTCTCCTTGCACGCCCCAGGATCCCATATGGGCGCTGGTTCTAATCCCGGCAGCCCCGCTTCCCTTCCAGCTCCCTGCCTGTGGCCTGGGAAAGCAGTCGAGGACGGCCCAACGCTTTGGGAACCTGCACCCGTGTGGGAGACCCGGAAGAGGCTCCTGGCTTCGGACCGGCATAGTATCGGCGGTTGCGGTCACTTGGGGAGTGAATCATCGGACGGAAGATTTTCCTCTCTGTCTCTCCTCTCTGTATATCCGCCTTTCCAATAAAGAAAATAAAAAAATAAATCTTTAAAATGGTCCTGGACAACCGACAGGGCTTAGGAATACGTATTCGACGGTCAGAGAGAGGTGGCCCAGGGCCTGATGCCGGAGCCTCAGAGGTGTGGGGGCGGCAAGCCAGAGGCCTGTCACCGGCGCTGTAGGCTGGCCTCACCCGAAGCACACTTTGGAGGCTTGCCAGGGTGGAGGCCCGGTTCCTGACGCACACAGGAGGAGCAGGGCTGGGACCTGACAGGTTCCAGACATTGCAAGCACAAGCCACCACTAACATTCGTCTCCATAGTCACCCATGTAACCCTTCATCACAGAATCAGAGTGTGTGAGCTCTGTGGCTCCTGTCACTTAGCGTACGTTCAGGGTTCATCCACATTGGGGACAGACACAGGTCTCTAACATTCTGTTTTTCAGTCAGTCAACTACTGCACACCCAACGGGGACAATACTGCCAGGAACACCGTGCACAGGTTTTTGTGTGTAACACATGTTTTCACTGTCTCTTGGTTACATACCAAGGGATGGAACTGCAGGGTCAGATTATAAACTCTATGACCACCAGGGAGCTGACACGCCTTCTTCCTGTAGTGCTTACAACATTTTCGTAACTCCATCAGCAGCATAGGAGAGCGTCTGACTGCTCCGTAACCTCACCAACAATTATCACTCCCTTCCCTTAAATAATTTTAAAATCACTGCCATCCTAACGGGTGTGAGGTCGTGTCTGTCTCTGGGATTTCTGGTGTGAGGTTGATTTATCTGAACGGTAGAGCAACAGGGCTGCTCCAGCCGCTCGCCCATTCCCCAGGTGCCTATAACAGCAGGGGCTGGGTCCGGCTGAAGCCAGGGGTTTGGAACTCCATCTGGGTATCCCAAGTGGCCAGCAGAGATCCAAAGCTATCTCTTCTTTTTGGTTTTGGTTTTTACCCAAGCCACTCTTTGCTGCCTCCCAGGTAGGCCAACTGGAAGCTGGCTGAGCTGACCCAGGCGTATCACAGAGCCACCAGATACAATAATGTTGACCTGTGCTTTCCTTGAGTGTATAGGCCATTTATACACAAACTTTGGGGAAATGTCTAGATAAGATTCTTTATGTATTTTAAAATTAAGAGTTATATCTTTGGTTCGAAAACCTCATGAAGAAACAGAATCAAAAGTTTTAGGTCTTGTGTGAAGGCTCAATAGGTTAATCATCCACCTGCAGGCGCCAGCATCCAATGTGGGTGCTAATTTGTGTCCTGGCTGCTCCACTTCTGATCCAGCTCCCTGCCTATGGCCTGGGAAAGCAGCAGAGTACGGTCCAAAACCGTTGGCTCCCTGCATCCATGCGTGAGAACTGGAAGAAATCTTGGCTTCAGGTCTTCACCCCCTATGGCCAACTGGTTAGTGAAACAGTGGATGGAAGATCTGTCTGTCTCTCCTCCTCTCTGTAAATCTGCTTTTCCAGTTAAATAAATAAATAATGTTTAAATTTTGGGGGGCAAAAGTTGGAAATTTGTGCATAGTTTTATTACAGTATGTGTTCTCCATGAACACACATTTTTAAAGATTTTATTTATTTTTATTGGAAAGTCAGATATACAGAGAGGAGGAGAGACAGACAGAAATAACTTCTGTCCGATGACTCAGCCCCCTCCCCGCCCCAAGTAACCACAATGGCTGGTGCTGTGCCAGGAGCCAGGAGCTCCTCCGGGTCTCCCACGCGGGTGCAGGGTCCCAAAGCTTTGGGCCGTCCTCAACTGCTTTCCCAGGCCAGAAACAGGGAACTGGATGGGAAGCTGGGCTGCCGGGATTAGAACCAGTGCACATATGAGATTCGGGCATGTTCAAGGCGAGGACTTTAGCCACTGGGCCACGGCGCTGGGCCCACGAACACACATTTTTAAATTGCCCATGTATTACTGAGTTATGATAGTTCTAGTTGAGATACAAGTCAGAAAGTATATAGTTTTTGGAAATACTATATAGCTTTTGGAAATGTCATTTGAAATACAACATTTTGGGGCTGGTGCAGGCACTGGAATGCCATATGGGTGCCAGCTAGTGTCCTGGCAGCTCCACCTCCCATCCAGTTCTCTGCGAA